GGGCTGGGCCCCAGGGGAGGGGGAGGCCAGGGCTGGGGAGGGGATGCTGGAGCTGGGGCTCAGAAGAGCCCACAGTCCTTGAGGTTCTCCTTGATGATGATGTCGGTGACAGCGTCGAAGACAAACTTGACGTTCTCGGTATCGGTGGCGCAGGTCATGTGGGAGTAGATCTCCTTCACATCCCGCCGCATATTCAGCTCCAGGAACTGCAGCTTGATGTAGTTGCCCGCATCGTCGTACGTGTTGGGACCTGGTGGCATAGCAGTGAGTGTGGGGGGGTCCCTTCCTGCGTTGGTGGTGTCCCCCCCCGCAATGGGTGCTGGCCCAGTGTCACCCAAGCGCTCCCCCGGGTGGGCAAACCTTGCTTGGTCCGTCAGCAAGGCTAGTGCAGCATCGCTTGCGTGGGGTACTGAGGACACCTGGTGGGTGGCTTCTGCAGGGTGGTGGCACCCAACCCTTCACCACCGCTCCATCACCACCCGCCTGCACCCCATGGAAGAGCTGCTGCCACCCTCACCGTCGTAGTCGGGGAAGCAGATGCTGAGATGGGCCTTCTTGATCTTCTCCAGGAAGACGTCCTTCTTGTTGAGGAAGAGGACGATGGAGGTGGTGGCAAAGTAGCGGTGGTTGCAGATGCTATTGAAGAGGTGCAGGCTCTCGTGCATGCGGTTCTGTGGAGGGACACAGGACCCCATCAGCCCCATGGTGACCCCTCCCACATCGTGATGGGAACAAAGTCGAGGGGGTATGGGTGGTGCGCCTTCCTCACCACTTCGTCATCCTCCACCAGGACCATGTCATAGGCGCTGAGGGCCGCGATGAAGATGATGCAGGTCACCCCCTCGAAGCAGTGGATCCACTTCTTCCGCTCCGAGCGCTGGCCACCCACATCGAACATCCTGGGCAGCACAAGGGGGAGTCAGCAACCCCACCCCCACCCCCTGCCCACCCCCTGAGTGCCAGCCCTGACCCGGGACTCAGCCCCCACCTGAAGTTGAGGTCTTTGAAGGAGAACTGGGTCTCAATGATGCCGGTGGTCTTGACACGGGAGCGCAGCACATCCTGTTCCGTGGGGACATAGCCAGGGGTCACCAGGCGCTCCAGGTCCGACAGGTAGCTGGCGAAGCACATGATGGGCATGAGACACAGATTGGCACCCCCCAGGTCCCCACCCCACCCTGACGCCCCCACCACACGTACTAGCCAGCCGAGTCATTGAGCTGGTACTCGGAGGCACGGTCGAAGCAGGCTTGGATGCCCGCGTCCTTCCAGAGCCGCCCGATGATGTCTGACATCTCCTTGGGCATGGTGCCCTCCTCGATGGTGTCTGAGAGGTGCAGCAGCTTGCGGGCATCGTCCTACGAGGGAGAGGGGCTCAGCGGGACCGGCAGGCTGGAGGGACCTCCATGCCCAGCGTGGGGTGCCCCTCACCTGGCGAGCTGAGTCTCCGTACTGGATGTTGAGGGTGCTCATGGCCCGCACGATGGCCAGCATGGACTGGAGTGTGTTGCTGTAGATGATGGCGATGAACTCCAGGCATTCCTCCAGTGAGTAACCGTCCTGATGGATGATCCTGGCCAGGGAGGAGGGCACGGGGCTGAGCTGGGCGCCGTGGGGTAGGGGTGCACCCATGGATGCAGCATGGAGCTGATGTGGGTGCTGTTGGATGAAAGCACCTATGGGTGCCGCATGGGGCCGGGCTGGGCACTGTGGGGTGGGGGGCACTCGTGCGTGCAGCATGGGGCTGAGGTGGCCACCACAGGGCTGAGCCAGGCACTAAGGGGTGGGTGCGTGCCACGGTTGTGGTGTGGGGCAGAGCTGGGCACGGTGGGACAGGAGCACCCCATGGCTGTGGCGTGGGGCAAGCATGTGGCACGGTGGGGCACGGCCAGGTGTCATCCCCTGGCACTTACTTCATCTGCTTGACGATGGTGCTCTTCCCCGACTCTCCTGCTCCTGCGGGGACAAAGCATGGGTCACGGCAGTGCCTGCACCATGGGCACCCCCGGCTGCACGCCACACGGGCTCCCCTGGAACCCCCCAGTACCTGGCATGGCCGGGGGACACCGGTGGCCTTGCCAGGTCCACGGTGCAGGGCAAGGGGGATTAGAGCCTGGTGCCAGCGGGCATTAAGGTTGGGCTGAGCCTCTGTGGCTAATGGGATCTGCGGCAGCTCAGCCGGGGACGTGCTCAGGGACCCAGGGGAGGGGTAGGGGACACAGCGGCATCACAACCCCGCCACCCACCACCCCACGCCCCAAGCCTGTGGCAGCACAGGAGGACGTGCCCTGAGCTGGGATCATAAGACAGCAATGGCACCCATGGTCCTACTGTGTTCAGAGCATCCCAGTCCTTGGGCACCGCTGGGGCAACTGGGAGGGACTGGGATGGACCTGCAGTGCTGGGGTGGGGGAGCACAGGGACAGACCCCAGGGCTGGGGAGAGGGGTGGTGGTGTGGGCTGCATGGGGGTGCCTGGGAAGATGGGGGGGGGGATGCTGGGGTGGGGCGTTCATAGGTGGTGTTGGTGAAGGCTCTTGAGATGGGTTGGTTGGGGTCAGGGGGCCTGGGAGCAGGGGGATGTTGGGGGGGCTGGTTGGGTTTGGGGGGGAGCTGGGGGGGTCTTAGGGGGG